CCTTCCAGGGCTCAGGTTGCCGGTGCTGCACGTTGCGCCCCTTCAGTTTTTCAGACTCGCTCGATATGCTACTCCACCTGTATACCCTCAGTTCGCATTAGAGCAGGAGACCAGGGACCTCTTTCTTTCTTCAGGGGAGTCTTCTTGATGTTGCTGCAGGCAGTCGTGGCTGAGGACGAGGTCTCGGACCACTCGCAGTCCGAGGCTTGCGGCGCACTGAAGCCCGAAACCTGCAACAAGCTCCGACACAGATGTCAAGGAAAGGAGAAGCCCCAGGTACCTACTATATGGGGTACTAGAGCCCCTAGGGCCCTATATAGTAGGCCCCCCAATGCAGCCTCGGCCCAATCTTCTAAAGCTCTCCTGTGCCAGGGAGGCAGTGCCTCACCCCCGGTGCCTGAGCAGATAGAGGAGGCAGCGGGGCCTTGCCGTTTGGAGACTTCCAAGCTTTCGGGTTTCGGGTGGCTTCAGGGACTTCGAGCCACAGGAAGGGTTGGGGAGACTGATGTTTGGGAGGCTTCAGGTGCAGGAGAGATGTTGGATCGGAGGTACAAGGTTGCGACTCCTGCAACCCAGTAACCTCTTGGACTCCACAACCTGAGCATTTGAACATAAAAACGCACTTGTTGATTGTTGTGGTGTCGTCCGTTTGTTTAACTGATGTTTTTGACCTCTCCTTCTTTTTGGGAATGTGTTCGAGGGGAGGGGTCCTGGGGATCCTCCAATACATTGCTTCTGGTTCCTAGGAAACAGGAGCGGACATGTATTGGAGGCTGGTCCTTGAGCATAGTACAAACCTGCGGTCTCAAACATCCTTTTGCAAATTGATTGGCAGCGAGACAGCCAGGTGCAGGACCTAGAAACAATCTAAAGGCTTTGAAGTTTGTGTGGCCGCTGCCGGGTCCTACAAACTCCGGCCTCGTGCCGTCACCTTCCTGGCGCGGGCCAAGCATATCGTTGTGGACAGACAGTGGGAGTGACCAAGAGCGACTACGCAGGGAACAAGTAGGGAGAGTCACCTACGAGTCATGTAGCACTGACCTGACTCATATAGCTGGTTTGGCCGTTTCGGCTGTGGTTTTACGGACGGTTCGTTTTTCATTTCACGTCGTCTGCGAAATGCAAAAATCCGGGCGCCCTTGTGCGAAGCACGATAGGCGTTCCCGTAAACCCTACAACCCCAAGACCGATTATGGAGTCAATGGTCACGTGATCGTCGGAGCATTCGGAACTCCATCCTGTCCAAGCTGGAATCCAGAAGTTCTTTGAACGCCATCCTACACTGCTTGAAACTGGATGTCCGAATTTTTGACACCCCTTGCTGTTAATGGCTAGTGCATGAAAGCCACTATGAAAAATATATTAGAGGGTCAATCCGGTTGGTGGTGTTTTGCATGTTGGGAGTCTAGTCACTAGTCTATTCATTTTTCGTCTGATGTTCATTCTTTTTTGGGGTTCGTTTAGCTTGTTTGAGACTCTGTTACAATATGTATATGTATATGTATATATATATATATATGTATGTATGTATGTATGTATGTATGTATGTATGTATGTATGTATGTATGTACATCTTGTTCGCTTTCCCATCTAGTCTTTTTTGATTCTATTTGAGCTCGCATTTGTGATCACTGATATGGAATCGTAAGGGTAAGGTAGGCTGGATCTAGCAATAACGATGGCGCACCATGCTGCTACTGTTCATTCTTGTTCATGTTGTTGTTCTCGTTGTTGTTGATACTCAGCATCATCAGCAGCAACGTCACAGTGATGCTGAGTATGACGACGACGATGGCGGCAATGGTGTTCACGTGCTTACATGTTTGATGATGTCGGCAGCGTCGTCGGTGGTGGTGGTGGTGGTGGTGACCGCTGCTGCCGCTGCTGCTGCTGCCGCTGCTGCTGCTGCTGCTGCTGCTGCTGCTGCTGCTGCTGCTGATTGCAATGGCGTGTTGCAACCATGCCAACTTCCCTGATCTTGTGGCAGGACGTGTCTGAAGGCTCCCTACAAGGAGATCCACTCCAGCCGCAGATTCAGCAGGCTTTTCAGGCGCGGATAGGCAACATCATACATAATCCAACACCTCAAATCGAGCGTGGGTTGCCGCCGTGAACTGACAGGTGTTGTAGGCATTACTGTATGGCTTTGCGACTGGGTTCCAAGTGTCGATCATCGAGGGGTTTCTGATTTTCGCAGCGCAGGTTTCAGAGCTGGAGCTTCTCCTGAAAGCCCTGGTCATGCCCTGGAGAGAGGCTTCAGCTGAAGGGCTGCGCCTGTAGCTGTCGCCGCTTTTGTTTGGGAAGCCTTCTGCGCCGAAGCCTTCAGGTCCAGGGGCGTGGTTAGTTGAGACGTCATCATTGACTGGCTGAAGGGCGGGCGAGTGCCAGCAACGAACGTGCATCAAGGGAAGCCTATCGGCTCAAGCTGTGGGATCTTTGTGATTGTCTGTCTGCGAAATGCAGTGCATTTATGGTGCGGTGCTCAGATGCACGGTTTGAGCACTTGTGGCACGGCATTTGATTCAAACATGGGCTCCTTCGCCGGTGTTGGGCGAAGGGATCTGTGCACAAGTGCTCCGGTTTAAGGCCTCTTTGCCGCCTCGTTGGTGGCACGTCTGGTTTCCAGCGCTCGCTGGGGACCTATGCAGGGAATGACTGGATCAGTCGTGTGGTCTGTCGCAATGTGTGCCCTGAAGCTTGCGAGGTATAGGGTCCTTCCAGACAACATGCAAAGCCGAAGATGTGCTCTACGCAGAAGGAGTGCCAGCAGGCCGCCACCACAGCATCTGAGCAGAAATGTCGTGTAGCACACATGTGCGCAGTAACATACGGTAACGGCGAACGCCGCTAGCACTCTGGCCCGAACGACGAAAGCTTTTCTCCCAGCCTTTCATTCCTCGACGCTATGCCTGGATGTGGCAGCGACAGTTCCAACGCCATGCCAGTGAAGGCTATGCCGCAGCGCAAGGCGCCCCGCAGCATCCCAGCGCGCCGGTGGCAGATCGTGGGATCCACCACGCCGTTGAGGGCATCCGCGCCGTGCTGCCGGGTTGGGCGCCCATGGTTATATAATATCCGGCCTGGGCGGCGCTTGCGGCAGAGATGAGCGTGGAGGACCGCACGGCGCTCATGGAGTGCTCACTATGGTTGGGCCCTCTACGCGGGCACTGTCTGCCGAGGTGACGATGCACATGAGCAGCCTATGCAGCCTCTACGGCGCTAGAGGCGGCAGGGGCGACGCCACAACCGCTGGCACCGTCACCCTCGACGAGGACGCCGGATGAAGGTGTGTCAGGCCTGGTATTCCTCGACGCCCCATCCTCCACGGCGACAGCATCAGGGCACCGACGGAGACGGCGCCGGACACCATGTCGCAGACCGTGCGCCGCAACATCGGCCACGCCGCCATCTTCTCGCCGACCACCAGACACGGCCTTTGACCGCATGGCGCCGACGACGGAGCAGACAACAGCGAAAGCGCTTGCCACCACGGCGCCACAAGGAGAGACAGATTCCAAGGACGGCGAGGAGAAAGACCGCGCCGCTCCGTGCCAGGCCGGTCCCCTCCCTGGGGACTACCACACCTGCACCGCCGACCAGGCCGTGTCCATTTCTGGCGGCGTGACTCCGTAGCCACGCGGCGGGCCAGGTTGACGAAGCTGCCAATGAAGTGGTGTGTCGGCACGTCGCTGACCCTGATGGTCGAATTGTGCCCGGATCGACCACGTCGGCGACGACCTCGCCAAAGTCTTCCCACACCAGCTCCAGCGGCGGTTCCATGACCATGGGGTGCTTGGTCTCCGCCGAGTTCTGCCAGTGACCGTCCTCTGTGGCTTCCGCGGCACTGGGCCCAACAAGTCCCCTACAGCTGCGCCACCCAGTGGCGCGTGGACTCTGGCGGCGGTGCGGAGATGGGTGCACCAGCAAGGCCAGTATCGTCGCGCGACTCCCCAGCAGCCATGCCCCAGAAGTCGGTGGCGTGTTCTGGGCTCGAGTTCGCCGTTGACCGTCTTCGCCGTGAAATTCTTGGGGATGTGGTGCAGCTGTTCTTTCGCTGCCGGCATGCGCACGACGAGCTTTCCTTGGCTGTCGGACAGTTAAGATGGCTTCCCTGTTGTAGTGCCACGGCGCGAATTGACGGCCATCTTGTAGCCACCTCTGCGGAACATCTGTCGTGACCTTCCCTCTCGTTGATCTCGACGGGGGTTTGCCCGTCTCGTCGGCTGCCGGCGTGGTAGAGCACGGCAACCTGATCTCTCGGCGACCTGGAGTTTGCCACCACCACGGCGGCCGACGAGCTCCTCAAGACGGCACAGAGCTTCCAGGGCTGAGCCGGCGCGTTGTGGGGAGTCGGTGCGCGCGGCGAGTGCAAAATGCGCCCCGGCGCCAGTTAGCCGTTCCAGCCTGTTTCGTCGCCGAACGGCATGATACAGTGCTTATACCACACGACGAAAAGGAGTGCATCGTGTGTTAGTACAGTTTTGGATCAACGTCGGTCGGAGTGCTCCGTATGTTGTGTACTTGTAGCGCACGTGCGTGCGAAGGAACATGCGTTAACGGCGAACGCCGCTAGCACTCTGGATCGAACGACCAAAGCTTTTCTCCCACCCCTCACCACCCTAATCTCTGATGTTGCCTTTCGGCGGACGGCGAACGACAGCGGGCCGGCTGCAGAATGCGCCCCGGCACCGGCGAGCCATTCCAGCGTGTTTCGTCACCGAACGACGTGATACAGCGCTTGTGCCACACGACGTAAAGGAGAGCGTGGCACGAAAGTACAGTTTTGTATCAACGTCGGTCGGAGCGCTCCGTATGTTTCTGCCATTTGTGGAAGCGAAATTGTTGTGTTGTGAGCTAAATGTGAGCGCTGCAACTAGATTCTTCTGACTTGCGGTAATTGAAATCATCGCCGGGCAGGCTTCGAGAATGAGAACAAAGATGTGCTTTCATCACATCGGTTGCTGGAATCTCTTGCCCCTGGGGTGGATCCAAGTGCAATCATGACTTGCATCCTGGCAGAAGACCGCAGAGGAATGACCCCTTTCAGATTCATTTGCTCTTTACTCAGAAACTGCCAGATTCAGGCTACAACTTGCACCGCAAGTCGGACAGGTGGAGGCTGTCATGGAAGCAGAAGCTCGCTGACACGTTGATCAAGGCAGCCCGGACTCTTTTCTGTGTGACCGGGCCATTTCTTGAGCCTTTTGCTTCTTGATTGAAGGCTGGCAGTGTAGAATACGAAGCAACAGACTGCAAACAATGTCCATATGACCACATGATGCTGATGACGATCACGACAATAGTTGTGGTAATGAACATGAGCATGATCACGTTCATCATGGTGGCCAGGAAGATGATGGGGAGGAAGGGCAGGAGCAGGAGCAGGATGACGATGAGGGCTATGAGCACGTTGATGAAGACCCGGAGGATGCTGATGAACCCAATGATGGTGACTGTTGTGGTTGTGGCCATCACGCCACAAGTTAAACGGCGATGATGGAGGAGGTGATGATGATGCTCATGAGGATGCGGGTCGCGGTCATGATCATGTTGGGGATGTTGGGGACCATAGCGGCGGTGTCTGCGGTGACGACTCTCAGTAGAATCGAGTAGAATCCGACAAGAGCGTTATCATTGCAATCGAGATGGCATGAACTGTGTACATAGTGAGTCCCCAAAGTTTCCTCCACTGGAGCATATGCATCTGTCGAGGACCATCATCCGCGATCGTTTCAAGCTAATTTGTTGAGAGTTTCAGCCAAGGCAGGCCAGGAGACCTTGGATTCGAGGCTCCGGCGCGGATTCTCGGCTGTATTCTCCATTAAGCTTTCCCAAAAACCCTTATGATTACTGTTCTTCACTGTCCTTATAGTGAATTTGCATTTTTATGTTGTTATTGTTAGTGTTCTTAATCAAAGCCCAAAGGAAGCCCGGCGCCGGAGCCGGCAGCCGAGGTCTGGTTTGGCCTTTGGTGAAGGGCATCCTGAACTTCAAAGGAGGCCTTTCGAGTGAGATGCTGGCCTGGGCTTTTGAGCACGAAGACGGGAAGAATCCATTTTGCCAGCCAGGGGCTTAGAGGATGTGCTCTGTCTTTGCCTGTCTCTGCCTGTGTGTCATCATGCACGGATGCCCGGATGCACCTTCAGGATGGCGTCGGAAGAACGAAAGAAACGATCCTTGGCACAACATGTTTCTCGACAGTCCGACAGCTTGCAGTCGTTGATGCAATGTTTGGCGGTAGCATCTTCGTCTATGCCGCTCTGACATGTGCGCAGAGCACGGCCGCAGCAGGAAACGAGCTTTTGGAGCACTTCGCGCACCTGCTTGTCAGTGGCGCTGCGGAGAGCGACAAGAAACCGGCGCCTGGACCCGCAAGACGGGGAGGAATAGAGACGAGTGTGACGGGTCTGGCTTGGTACTGGTTTGGATCCTGTGGGCATGGCTGGAGCAGTTGCCAGTCTCATGTTTTCGTTTGTCTGTTTGTGTGTGTGTGTGTGCATATGTGTTGATGTGCGCTACAGCAATCGTCGAGGTAGTGAGAAGTCACATTGCAGGTATTGCATCTGCATTCAACATCCCGATGCAGCAGCATGCACGCAGTTTTTTCTGTAAGCACGCTCTGTTTTGTCACGAACCTACGGGCATTCTGTCGCCGAAAGCATCAGCTGCTGTGTTTGAAGCAAGAAAATGGAGTTGCATTCTTTGGCTTACCCTCTGTACCGACTCAAGCAAGCGAAAGGATCTATCCTAAACTGAGGATGAGGGCTCGGCTCTCGTGCTTGAAGGCTTGAGCCAGCTCATCCAGAAGGTGCCGGAAACCCCGAACTCCGAAAGTTCTGCGCAGCCGTGAAACTTCCAAGGATGCTTGGTGGTGGATTAAACCGGAACAGGGCCTGTTGCCAGAACTTGCGCAGATTTCCCGCAGGCGATCGTGGCAACAACAATGGCTGATTGCGGGATGTTCGACAACGTGACGGACAGCAGCGGCTCGGTTGCGACCCATTTGTGTTCAGTTCATGCGGGCGGGCCGCAGCCAGCAGACCGCAAGGATCTGCGGATGGTTAACGTAGCTAGAAGTGCAACTAGGCGTCGGCTTGTGTCCACAACTCTCGGGCGAATATGTCGCCTCGTTTCAAGGACGCCTCAAATGGGACACCAACTTTACGTGGCCGCCGGTGGTTTTGAACTCCTTCGAGCTATTGGCTCAAGCTCCAGCGAGCCCACGAGAACGATACTTCGTCCAGTCCTTGGTCGATCTGTTCCAGGCGAGGATTCCCAGGAACCCCCCTCAACCCCATCTCCGACGTGTTTGTGGGGCATGAGAGCATCTCCAAACTTATAGATGCCACCAGATGGGGGGCTGTTCTGAACGCGGACACTAGGATCCTGTCTTTGGGTCCGTATATTTCACTGGCAAAAATCTACTCAAAAGAGCCCGATGTGGTCGGATTGGAGCCAGGACTATGTGAAGAAGACGGGCGTAGACCTTGCCAACTCCGAGATCCCACCAGAAATGGAGAGGCTCGAGTGGAGTTGTTTAGAAGCTGATATGCAGGGTTTCAGAAACTAGGATACCTTGTCAAGGCAGGTGGGAAATGCATACAAAAGGTGTTCAGTGATTATTGGCATCGATTCCACTGCAGAGCTACGAGAAGGGAGGAAGATCCGATCTCTACTTTAAAGAGGGTAGCTGAAGGGAGGGTTTGCAGGATGGCATGCTGCAAGGCGCCTTCGGTTGGCGAAGGGGTCATACTATGCGTCCAAACTCCTTGGGCAATATGCATCCTGCAAAACTCATGAGCCTTTTGCAGGCTGTGGTCCATGTTGCACAAGGACGGGGTGACTTCAGAGGAGGGCCGAGCCACTAGGACTATGAGGCAGTCCAAACGTGTGCGTCCAGCAGTCCCTCCGGACCTTTTCATGCGCAAGCCATCGGAGCCGCCAATCTGAGGTGTTCGCTAGGGCCGAAGAGCAGGTCAGGAGCTTTTCGCCAAATGCCACGAGGCTTGCAGCGCTTTTTGCACAAGAGTTCTTCTGCGTGCAAATGAAGCCCTGTCGGCCCCGAACCTCGAACACCTTCCCCGACCCATCGCGTGCTTCTGCACCCGACCATTCGCTACCGAGAGCCGGCCGAACCCTCCAAAGCCGATTTCAAGAAGATAGGAGCCTCAATGTAGACAGCATAGGGTTACCTTGCTGCAATTTCAGTTTGATATACCCCTCCCGAAATCCTGTCAAGTTCCGGAGTTCAAGAGCCGTACGGGGAGGCCAATGTCCTGCCAATGCCACCATGTTGCCGCGGCCATGGCCTCCGCGATGGGCAAACACCTGAAAGAGGCCCCGTGAGCTCGATTCGCCTTCCGCCAGCAAGACCGAGCTCGGGCAGTCAGTATATTATAGTGCCTAATAGTTCCTAGTAGTTTCTTATAGTTTCTTAGAGTTTATTATAAGGATATACTACTACAGTGTTGAGTGAGTGCATGACGCATGCGATCCTCGTCCCTGGCGCATTGGGGTCTTCAGGGGGGGGAAGGAGGCATGCAAGCAATGCTGCATTGCCAGGTGGGCTTCGATCCATCCAGCAGCCTGGCCCCGTATCGCCGCGTCAACAAGTTGAGCTCGGTGCGCTTGTCACCACCAAGGTGCCGAAGCTGACTGGGCTCCTCGGCTGGCCAGAGAAGCAAGGGACAATCACTAAGTTGCAGGCCGTGTGACATAGAGGAGTTTCGAGTTTCCGCCAGTAGGCGACCCTAGTTGAACCTTAAATGCGATCATGACTGCAACTCCTTTTCGGGAGGAAATTCTCATGTCACAGCTCCCTATGTCATGGAGACAAAGTGAGCTGGCACTGAACCCCGTACCCAAAACGTACCGTAGGAGTTGCTCCCAAGGGGAGAGCAGAGAAGTCAGCAGTCGATGTCAGTTCATATGCTTGAAGTAGAAGTAAAGTCACTCGAAGAAGTGCGTGATTGGACTTCTCTCTGGGTCTGAGAGTTTCTGAGATCACGTGATGTTGAGAGAATCCCAGAATCGAGGTGTGGAAGGCGACGGATGTGTCTGAAATGCTGGACCTCTTCACCCTCACAGAGGCGGATTGGTTGGAGAAAAGGCACAGCAACCACGTGGATGAAAATCGGTCGCGCTTATCGGCGGCCTATACGCGGATCATAATGACCATAAGGGTCTTGCGAAAAACACTCAGTAAGCGTCGGAGCTTCTGTCATGACGAAACTACTCTGGTTCTGGTTCCTGTTTTTGGTGTTCTTATGGTGTTTCAAGTTAGACCAATCAGACCAGGAGCTTAGCTTATCCATTACCCCACCAAGCACAAAGCTCGTCAATCAGATTCCGAATAAGCAGCGCGCAGATACCGATACTCATGGTAGCACTCTCCCAATCGACAAGACACAAGAGCTTAGGTCCTCCGAAAGCATGAGGACCTAAGCCCGATGTTGACTGCGACAGGCTGGTTTGGAGGATCCCAACCTCTCGTTCCTCTACCTGCTGGGCGAGGCGGGTGGACGGTTGACTTTCCCTTGCTTGCACGTGGACAAAGAGTTTGATGCACCCGGACTCCAGAGCCAGAAAGATCTGATGTGTTACGAAGTTTACCAGCGCAAACCGCCGGGCATAGGGCTTGCGCTTAGCTGCAGTCCGAAGGTTCCGGTTCAGGGTAAAGATCTGATGCATTCAAGTGCAGTCCGAAAGCTTCGCTTTGTTTTGCAATGCTGATCAGCGTAAACCGCCCGCTCGACGCTGAAAGCATTTGGGGCCCACAACTTCGGTTAAGGGCAACCAGAAAGATCTGATGTATTCCAACGTTGATCAGTGCAAACCACCCGCATGACGCTGGAAAAGGCTTGGGGCTAGCTAAACCCTCTGCGTGTTTTCTCCTCCCGGACGCCGAAGCACAGCTGTCTCTCGCGTGCACGACGTGACAGGTTAAAATCCCTGCAGGTTGTGACAGTCGCGGATCTGGAGACTTCCTTTCAGCATGCCATAGCAAGGTGTTGGTGCGACTCCGTCCACCCTTGAAGCATATCTTGGGGCCGTCTGGTCAAGCTGAGTGGGCACATAACCACACTGGTACCACGCAAAGTGCAGTGCTGAATCTGGATTCGTCCGACGATGATGAAGAGGCGGTTGCCCTGCCAGTTCACATCGCGAAGAAAGAGCCATATGACACCATTGTTTTGGACTTTCCCATGTCTGTTTTCAGAATTTTGGGGCACCTGTCGTATTTATTATGTTTTACAACTTATGTTCCTGCTAACATTTTGGCTCTAGTCGTGCTTGCTAGGCGTGCACAAGCGGTTGCCGGGCGAATTATTCCTCACATGTTTCTAAGTTCCAGGCATATCGCTTCATGGCATGTTTCTTAGCCTGCTTTTTCACATGGTGCAAGAAGAGGTGGTTTGCGATTTTTCCGTTTTTTCAAACGAAAGGATGATGACCAAGACCAAGAACAAATCAGAGTTCGGAAAAGCTCTCAGATGACGAAGAGCAGGCTGTCGAACCTGAGCCTCGTGGCGACGGCCAAGAGTCCCAAGCCCAGTGCATGGGCCCACGGACGAGGCCATTGTTCTGGACTTTGATGTGGAGCACCCAGAGAAAGATGCAGCGCCTAAAAAGCGCTTTTCTGCCCCCAAGAAAGTGCAAGATTTTGCAGTCCGCCAGCTCAGGGTAGCCACTGCATGACGCTGGAAAGGGTTTGGGGCAGCCCGACAGCTTCGATTCAGGGTATCCAGAAAGCTCTGATGTGTTACAATGGTGCTCAGAGCAAACCGCCCGCTTGATGCTGGCAAGGGCTAGGGTGGCGCAGAAGGTCGACGAACAGCCCGGCTGAATAGTACTTCTGTAGCTTATAGCAAGTAAGCAATCCGAAAGGTGCGGTTCAGGGTAGCCAGAAAGATCTGATGTGTTACAATGCTGATCAGTGCAAACCCTTGATGCTCGCAAGGGCTTGGGTGGCGCAGAAGGTCGTATTTCTGTACCTTATAGCGAATAAGCAATCTGAAAGGTGTGGTTCAGGGTAGCCAGAAAGCTCTGATGTGCTACAATGCTGATCAGTGCAAACCCTTGATGCTGGCAAGGGCTTGGGTGTCGCAGAAGGTCGACGAACAGCCCGGCTGAATGGTACTTCTGTAGCTTATAGCAAATAAGCAATCCGAAAGGTGCGGTTCAGGGTTAGCCAGAAAGACTTGATGTGTTACAATGCCGATCAGTGCAAACCGCCCGCTTGATGCTGGCAAGGGCTAGGGTGGCGCAGAAGGTCGACTAATAGCCCGGCTGAATAGTATTTCTGTAGCTCATAGCAAATAAGCAATCCGAAAGGTGCGGTCCAGGGTAGCCAGAAAGATCTGATGTGTTACAATGCTGATCAGTGCAAACCGCCCGCTTGATGCTAGTGAGTGACATTGAGTGATGTATCGGGACTTGTAGGAGCACGAAATGCCGCGAAAGGGAATGGCGCTTGTTCTGGGGTTCTTGTACTTCGAGCTGAGTACAGAGCTGTGTCACGGTTGTGTCCTTGGCGCCATGTTGAGGCAAATCATCTCAAGCACTCCCCTGTGGAAGAGGGCGAGCAGCTGTCAGAAGAGTCCGTGCAAAGGTCGATGATCAAAGGCAGGGCTCTGGTTCACGCGTTGATTCCTGCAGCGTATGTGTGTGTGTGGAGCTCCGTTATGCCGTCATGCATGTGCATTATTCGGATTACTGCAAATTTGGATTGACGTCAGATTTGGTTGTCGTGTCGTCATGCCACTCAACAGGTTCTTTTGCAAAATGCGAAGCGAAGTCTCGAAAGGGTGCCACTTTCGAGCCACTCTGCAGGTGTTCTCGTGGGCTTGCCCATGCCACGGGCTTACAAACACAGTGTGTGCCAGAGTGGTGCAGCCTTTGGGCAAGCGAGCTGTGCTCCAGGATCCAGAACTACTTGGCGCACTTGGCCGCAGCCCTAGTCTGAGCTATGTCGATGGCAAGCACATCTTTCGAAAACGAGGACATCAAGCATGGCGGTGGCGACGACATCAAACAGAATTACGCTGCAAAAGAGAAGTGGTTCCTCTTCTTAAACATCGCCTGGGCAGTCTTTCATGCCGGGGGCTCGAGCTTCTCTGAACTTGTGAAGCTATGCAGTCATCCTAAGCATGGTGTCGTGTCTTCTTCATTTCAGGAGAACGAGCAGGTGGGCATCGGTGAATTGCAGCGTGTCTCGCTCCAGCACCGGCAGCAAAACGTTGCTTTCGGCCTATTGGTGTCTGCCTTTTCCGTTCTGTCGAGCTTCAGCGGCCCGGATGCGCTTCATGTCAAACATCGGGAGCTTTAGGGTTGAAGCGGGGTGTTACTGCCTTTCGGTACCAGCTTCCAAATCTTGCATGCTCGCTGCAAATACCGCCCCACTGGAAGTTGGCATCAGGCTGGGATGGTATCAACTTCAAGGAGACAAACACAGAGGCCTTCAACGACTACAATGTTGCCTTGTACACCGTATGGATCCAGGCTGCAGATAGTAGCATGGGGTTGAGGGAGAAGGTTCGACGGACGGTGTGTCGCATCGACTCAGGAACTATCGCTGGGTCAGGGCCCTGTTCGAACCCCGGCGCCTACAGTACCACTTCTGGAACGCCTTGGGGCTTCCGATGCTCGAGGCTCACAGCACTAACAGGTGACATTGACTACTCGAAGAGTCGGCCCTTGAGAGATGTGCAGTGACCTTACGGTAGCCGGAGGCTTCATCCCTGTCTCTGCTACGACAGGCCCTTGGCAACCAGGGAAGCTCTGCCTACTGGGTGAACTACCGGCGCGACGGCCTGATGGCCAGCTTGATCAACCTTTCTCCTCTGCCAGAGGACGCAGCTACTGATCACCGAGAGAATGTGGCATTTGACCATGTCGATTGGTTATGAACAAACATGAACTGCAGAAGGCACCTAGCAGCAGTTCCACTGACATTGGCTTGAATGCATCTGCGAGGACGAGGATCACTGAAGATGCTGACTTTAGTTCATAGAGAGACCCGGCCGATTCCGAAGGAACCTGGCTTTGTTTCGACGGTGTGCAAAAGACTGGCGTCCGACTGCCCATCTCAGGGAGAAGCCGGGAGATTGTAGCAGCAACGATGGCCTGCCTGCCGGCTAGGCGAGTCAGGCGTCTGTCCTGTCGCCGAGGCGCATGGCGACAACCCGGGTTTATTGTTTCGCAGGGTTTCCAAAGTTCAGGTTGCTCGAAGAAAGAGCTACCGCGCGTTGAGGTGATTTGCACGCTGCATGCCCACCTCCGGATAATCCCTGCCAGAGCAGATCAATGTTGCGGATTCCTCACTGGGCCGTGGCATCGTTGCATCATTCGCTAGGTCAAGATGAACCAAAACACCTCCTGGGTCCATGTCATGCCTCATCCAACCGCATCAACTTTGTCGTCCTTCTCTCGGTGCCGAGCTTTGGTCCATCGAGGGCTTTTTCCTGAAGCGGTAGCATCTAAATTACACTGCCGGCCGCTGGAGACGAATCCCCACGCAGTGCACCCAGACACTGAAGTCAGCAAAGCTGCAAGGACTACAGGGCAGGAGAAGGGCACAGGGCAAAGTATCCCGAGCCTGCAACTGGGAAGGCTGGAATCCGGGGGAGGTGGAGACGTCGGGGGGCCCAGAAAGCGAGCATGGCTGTAGATTGGGATCAGGCACTCGGGTGGATGAGTGGCGTCACACATCTCAGAGAGACCCTGCAGTAGCAGGAGATCGGGTCTAAAACACCGAGGCCGGCGCCGGTGGGAGCCAAAGAAGCGGTGCAGGCGAAATGGGGTCTAGGCTTCAGGTTTCTGCCCGATTTCTGTCAGGGTCTTCAGCTAAAGGATCTAAAGGTACCTGCTGCTCCAGGCTTCAGGAATGCTGGGCACTGAAGGTTCAGCATTCAGCTACCAAGCTCAGATGAGATGTTGCTGGAGTTCTTCCATATCAAAAGAAGCCGCAGTGCCGTCTCTATGTCAGTGTCTGACGGTATGCCACACATGCATCATCATGCATCCTGGAGGCGCCGACGGCTTCCAAGCATGGCTCTCAGACTTTGCAGCAGTGACTTTCTGCGTCCGGCGCTGACTGTTAGAGGCTGCCTTTGGGATGTGCCCACGTCTTTTCTCAGGCTTCCTCAGCCACTGCACAGCCTGGCTGCCCTGCTTGGGCTGCTCTACAGCTGAGCGACGGCGTTTATTTACGTCAATACTATGCTCTGTTGAAACGAGATACCTCCGTGCAGTATTTCATTTGTCAGAACTTCCTCTAAGAGGGGAACGAGATAGGGGCACCGCATAACACGAGATCAGGTACAGGTATGACACGGTGCAGTACTAACGATACTTGAACGAGATCAAGAATTTCTGTACTTAACATGATGAAACGAGATAGGGGCACCGCTTCGAGATACCGCAATTCCTCTCCGGAGCAGTCACAGCCAGGCTCTTCCTGGGCTACCTCTCCGCGCTGTTCATTGCGCTGCGCAGTGGCGTGTCCAGCGCCAAACCAGGTGGGGGGGAAATGTTTTTCATCTCCTGCTCCACTTGCATTCAGTTGCATTCGGATCTGTCAGGCAAGGATCAGGACCTCCCCTTGTGGGCAGAGCCGCCACCCATGCCCAGTGTTGCCGTCCGGTGCCTACTTGAGGGGGCTTTCATCGTTTTCTGGAAGTGTTTGTGCCTTTGGCCTACTTAAGGGATGTCTTTCCTGTTCTGATGGGCTTCAGTGACTTTCACGGGTGCTGTAGCATTGTAGGTGTCAGCCGTGTAAGCTGCGGCACGTCGAAGCCTCTTCGGAGCGTTAGTGCAGGCTCCGCAGTCGCTGGTGCTCCCACGTCGCTCGCTGTCCTTAAACGTCTTGGATGGCTACGACACTCTCAAGCTCGCCCTGAGGCACATGGTTTTGGGGCCTCTAACAAAGACAATGTCACGGTAGGACACAGGCATTGAACATGGGGGGGGGTTGCCAGGCTCCTGCTGTCCACGGTGGGTCAGCGAGAGGCGGCCTCGTCTAGTCGCCGGCACATGACTCAGTCGGACTGCCTTCACCTGTTGATCATCTCAAGACGCCAACCCCAAGGCTGCTGGAGGTCTCGACCATACAGGAGCTGAGCATCTGTACGCATGCTGAGGGCTCGGCAACTAACTTCATGGCTGTAGCTTCAAGCGGCGCATGCTGTGAGCACGTGCCGCCTATTGTAGCACGCTTGACCATCTAGTGCCAGCCGCGTATCAGAGATGCATGATCACGAAGCGCTCATGAAGCCCAAGTCCATATAGCTTGCTACCTGTTCAGGTTGGGCTTTACCATACCATCCGGCGGCGGGATCTCAGCGAGCGCACGCTGAAGCTGACGATTACCGCCATTTTTCAGGCTTCTGGGCATTCGTGGGCTCGTGTTGCTGTGTTCGCAGACCCGGTTAATGCTGCAGGTGGGCACAGCCTTCTTGAGCTTGGAAGCTGACGACGGAGGTGCGGCGAGGGACCGAACCTGGCGGGTCCATCGCCATAGCTAGCTTCGATGATCTTGCCAATGACCCAAAGGAGTCCCGAGCAGAGATCGGAGTGAATTCAAGCTACCGACACCAATCCCGGCGCCCCGACGGAAGAGTCTCAGCCTTTGCCCAGCAAGCTGGTGCAGGTCCCGTCGTTTCCATCGGCTGGCCGGTTCGGCTCATCGAGGTACATAAGATAGTAGTGGTAATAATAATAATTAATAAATTATTATTATTAGTATTATTATTAGTATTATTATTATTAGTATTATTATTAGTATTATTATTATTAGTATTATTATTATTGTTGTTATTATATGCCAGGGGTGCAGGGCATACAAGTGGCAGGGTTTTTTTGGAGCTCAAAGTGGGCCGCCTCGGAGGAAGGCCTTGCGCCTCAGCCCGAAGTGGTGACTGTAGTACCTGCTCGTCTCTTGACAGGCCAGTGCAGGTCATCCTGACACATCCACTTTTTGCCCTAGCTGCCCAGCTGGCACAGCTAGAAGAAAAGCCCGAAACCTCAGCCACAGTGACAGTTGAAGTTGCAAACCTCTGGCTGTAGAAGGGACCCCGATCAAAACTGACCCCCCAAAACAACCTCCAAAGCTCTGCTTCATGAAAGGCGCTCTTGGCCCGCAGTGATGCCGAGCCCCAGCTGCTTGTTCCCAACTCTCGGCTCTGCATGGAGGCGGCTGGGGGGGGGGGGGGGGAAGGGGGTTTGGTGACTAAACCAAGAATCCAGGTCCAGGAGGGTTTCGCCCGAGCAGCAGAGGCTTCGATTGGAACTTTTCGATCTTTGCAAAAGCCTCTAAACAGCCCATGCCGCAGGATCCAAGATACTTACCAAACCGAACATGCAGCCCTCGGCAGCCACGGAGGTCCTTGAATCGTCCGATGCCCTTGTTACTATCTAAAGCATAGGCTAAATACGGCTTAGCTTCTGCTCAAGGCCGTTCGCAACTTCGTGGTCGAGGCACTCTCTGGACTCAGTGAAGTTGCCTGCACAGTGACGCCAGGGGGAACAGGTTTGACACGGCAGACACGTGTGATGTGATCCATGACCTTGGCAGACATCGCACAGAAGTCTCGCACTTCCGGATTTGTGGCGTGCAATGCTGCAGCTGCTGTGATGTCCCCAGCACATGCGTCAACCGGTTGTCTAGATGCTGGCTTAGTGTGAAGCAATGTGTGCAAGCCTTGTTTAACGAATCGTATTCCAAATAGGCTGTCCAGGTTTGCGCAGTTGCTCCGCTTCCATCATGCTTATTGCATGGTCTGTGCTTGAGCCACGAAGCTTCTGACGCAAAATCGTCAACACCAGGGCACAAAAACAGATACAGGTACGAGTAGGGGAGATGTGCATCCTGCATCTGACATGAAGGTTCCCTAAAACCTAATTCCTAAACCCTNNCCCTACACCCGAAACCCTAAACCCATGAAGGTTACGAGGGCTCGTCTCCCGGGCCACGAGAGCCCTCTCCCTGAGACTCTCTGAGGTTTCGCGCAGCTCCGACCACCTCCAGGGCGCTGTGGCCCAGTGCAAAAGACAAGGAGGTCAGCCTAGCCTTGACTGTCGTTCTCCTTTTGGCAACAGACAGGACGGTTTAGGTTTAGGTTTTAGGGGTTTAGGGGTTAGGGTTGAGGGTTTAGGAATTTCGAAGCCTGTTTGCTTACGATTCCTTGTTGAGGCTGAAGCCCCCTGGCAGGTGGAGGCCGTCCAGCTCCTCATTTGGAGAAGAGGATTGGCCGCTGCCTCGGAAATCATTCCAACGGTTTGGGCTCTGGGAGTTGAGGGCTTTAAGGACTCGAAGCTGTTGTAGTCCGTGAGCTGCCTGTGTTTATCTTTCGCGGATCGTCGACGCCTTGATGGTTTTCAAATTCTCGAGAGTGCCCAATACGGAAGTTGCTCGCAGAGCTAGCTACCCCTCTGCTACAGAAACGCACTTTTTGGTAAAGTGCTGAGATCTGCACACGCCCACCCTGCAATCTTCCTGTTTCTAGACCAAACATTCCATACACTGACAGAAAGAGTGATGGCATGTCACCATAAAGCAACTGCAACAGAAGTCCTTACTGGCGGCACGGCGGACCAATGAACTGCATTGTCCGGAAGGGTCGTCTGGAGTTTTTGTCGTCAATGCTAAGGAAAGAGTCAACACACTAACGGGTTTCCAGCCTTCACGAATCATACATCCGATGACAGAAATGCCACGAGCATGACTACTGGAATTCTCAGCCTCTGGCCCCTGCTTTGGGTACCTTTTCGTGAGTAGAGCAGCTAGCCGCAATCAGCCTTGCTGACCCGAGAAACTCCCGCGTTCTGGCCTGTGGAATGACATTAGAAAGTCAAGTCAAGCTGCAGCACGAGTGCTTGCACGGTGACTCTTCACTCTTCAAAGCGAGCAATACGACGGTACAAACGGGGGCTTTGGGGAAGAGCCTTGATTCTAAGCGTGCGCAGCTGGCGAAACAGTTTACACGTTGAAGACACGCGTGGCATGGATGGTGCCAAGTCGTATCCATGAAAGCATTGAATTTAGAAGATGCTTGGTTCCTGCCAGCCTGAGATCATGCTGTCGTGAAAACTGTCCAGTGCATTCATATTTTGATTGAGAAGCTCTTGCTATCATCATTACCGTGCACTCCGCGATGCTACCACCACTGCCAGTACTTCCATTCATAGTTCAAGCTGCTCATACTCGGGGTACCCTGACATTGCACCCAGTGCACGGCGTCTCCATGGCAGATTTCCGAGGTTTGGCTTCTCGCCCACCCGCAGCTGCACGACGGGGACACAGCCGGTGAGGACGGCGCAGGCACGCAGACGAAACAGTCTCAGGTCTTGGTTTTGGCTTGCTAAGTTTATTTCCGCGTGTCGGGGCTTTTTTTCCAGACAAGCTCGTTCATGGGCAAGCCTCTTGCAAGTTGCCAGGAAGCCCCAGTGACTCGGAAGCCAACTCGTTTTGGGGGCACCCTCCTCAGCCGCATGGGAGCAGTACATGGAGTACATGGACCTTGCTGTCTGAGCATAGGGGGCACGAGAAGCCACATATGAGACGATATCCGTGCGGGCCAACTTGTGCGAACATCTAACCTGTTTCTGTTTGATGTCGAGCTGTGCCGAAAAGCCATCCTGGTCCATCGACATGAAGCCATGTGAGCTGAGGTGGGCCTTGTCCGAGCTGACGACGTTGGCTGGAGTCCCGAAGTTTCTGCAGTTGTACCATTTCGACTTGCCGTAGTTGCAGCTGCAAGAATTGCGTAGAGATCCATGTTGGATTTTCTGAGGCACACCGCAGCCCGGAATGCTATGACTGCTACGGTGTATTGCTACACTACTACACTTTTGGAAAGCCTTCACTGTCCATCTATGTATCTATTTGCCTGACTAGTTATCAATCAATCAGTCTATCTATCTATCTATCTATCTGTCTGTCTGTCTGTCTGTCTGTCTGTCTGTGTGTCGGTCTAAGTAAACATGGAATAAGAAGACACCAAGCTGTCAGAGCAGACCATGAGTTTGCATGGAAAAGTGCAACGTGATGTCATGTTGTTTGCAGCAGTTTTGATGAATAGCAATTTTGGAGTTTTCCGCCCGAGTAGAGCTCCTTACCAAGGGTCGACCAATATCAGATGATACAAGACAGTGAAACATACGACAGGTAGAAACGTCGAAAGCCTCAGCGCAAGAGAATATACATGTCTTCGTTGATCAGATTGTATGAATCCACGGTGCAACCTGTCAACAAAACATCAGAGTGTGCAAATGTCTAGCAGGTAAAACTGTCGTTGCGCAGCCGGTTTTGTCAGGAAGCTTCACTGTGGATGCGCTTAGCTCCCAAATACCCTGCATCAGAGCATAAGTCGAACCACGGATAGTCAGACCATCAGCTGCGAGTACTGTGCATCAGAGTCTCGAGTGAAGCACAGTGCCTCAATGATGTCACAACGGCGGCGAGCAGCAATGTCACGCCATGCTTACGTCCGACTGTAAGATGAGGCAAGCAGTTTCTGAAGTCATACCATGCCCTTCTCTGGTCATCCCACACGTAGTCAGAATCTTGACACGTACTATAGAGACATGGTATATGTATATGTATATGTATATATATATGTACATATATATATATATCTATGTTTGTGTCTCAACCACACTGAGGCTCAGGAGATGGCCGGAAACCGGGGTACCGGATCCATCCGGCTGTTGCTCTATGCCTACAGGACCCTCTCAGCTCCCTTGGGTCCTGCTCGGAGCTTCATGCTGTAGTTGTTCATGTAGGGGTTCAAGTCATGCAACTTCATATTTCAGAGGGTCCTGGCCTCTGTGCCTTTGATAGCAAAGAAAGTGCTTTGTCGTGTTTGACTCGCAGACAGTTATGCGGTTCACGAAGCCAAGCTACCGAGCTTGTCGATGTCGGCATCTAAGACGTTGCAGCACTGGCTGCATGAAATGTGCAAGGGTTTGCAGGATTTTTTTGGGTCTATATGGTCAGTAGTTCCGTTGAATGGTAGGAAATGTGCAGCAGACCCGACGCCGTGATCAGGACACTCCTGCATAACCTCGCCCGTCCCGTGAGTGCAGCAGAGTACGCGCGAGTTGGGTGCTCGGCATTTGAGAGGGTTCATCAGAGGGTCACATGACACCGTGAGCCTGCGGAGAGCCAGGACCTTTCTGGATCGAAGACTCATGATGACAAGTCTGCATGTCTGTGAGTTCAGGATGAGCCGAGTGAGCTCCAGGAGGAGCCCAGAGAAGAGTTCCCAGTCCGCGGAAATGTGAGGGTCGGAACAGGGACAGTCAGAGAGGATTGAGGGCTGGAGTTAACACCACGGCTTTGCGACTTGTTGCCCCTTCGGAGATCTTAAGTACGATGCTTCATCTCACCTCGAGCCCTTCTGGCAGGATTGCCTCAGTGAAGCCGCGGACGTCACGGGTGCAGGCTGGCCTCTGCAAAAACTCGCTATGCCGGTGCCATGTCACTCGTAGGGGTCACTCATGGATGTGCAGTCCTATACACAATGACATACCGTACTGTATAAAATATGCGGACGAAAGGGAAATCTGAAGCTTCTGAAGCCTTAATGTAGTCATGCGTAACTATAGATGTGTATACGCATGCATTATGTGCTTTTGTGTTCATGTCTACAAGAGAGCGCAAGTGTACATAGCTCAGCACCTGTGATTTATGCTCACATAACATGTGTGTGTGTGTAAAGTAAAAGCTGCGTATATATACACATGCACATAGCTTGATAATGACAAGGTCTTGGCAGTAGCAAAGAACAGTGAACATGCAATACTCGAGACGAAACAACAGGAACACGCATGCTTTCACTGCCACCATCACCATCACCATCTTAACCGTTGTCACTGTCACTATCACCCTCAGTTTCATCATCATCCCCACAATCATTAGAATCATGGCTTGATGCTCATGTATAGCAGTGCAAAGAATCGCAGAATCCTGCATGTATAGCGCTTGAACTGTAGGCAAAGACTATGAAACAGTGCATTCAACTTGGACAGTAAGTCTGTTCGGTTCCTGCATGCTCAGCTCAGCCTGGGGTTCGTTTCAGTGAGATGCACCCGCCGGACCTTTCAAGCAGACCCTGCAAGTCAGCATCCGGTTTAACCGTGGCAAGCTGTTCTATTTCGTTTTGGTGCATCCGCTCAGGCCCTTGTGCTACTGGCCAAGCACACTACTCAGCTGGGCTTGGGAGGGTACACGCAGCGCTGGGCGTCTGTTCCCGTGACTGTTGGAGAGGCTTGCGAAAACTGAAGCATCTTGCTGCAGGCGTATGTCATGGACAAGCGTTTTGGCTTGCGGTGTAACTAGACAGGAAGCAGCCTCAAATCTCAGCCCCTTGACGCTCTCGCTCGCGGACCCTCCGAGGACCTCAGCCGCGCCTCGAAAGCCGCGGCCTGGCTCTGCTGGCGTGCTTCGGTTATCAGCCCGCCTCGGATACTAGGAGCTGGAATAGCAATAGTAGGAGTAGTCGCAAAAGAAGCAATCGTCGTATTCGCCGTAGAAGTCGTAGCCGTAGTCGTCGTAGTAGTAGTAGCAGCAGCATCAGTAGCCGTGGCGGTGGCAGTAATTAGCAGTCGCGGTAGTAGTGTAACAGCAGCCATGGTAAGTGACGATAGTAGTACAGGAGGAGCAGCAGCAAGAATTGAACACAGCCCGAACTATGTAGATCCATTTCCGACACGGCTAAGGATTCCGATCCGTTAACGGTTGCTTGTTTGCCCACTATCGGAAGCCCTTAATCCTAAAGCCGACACCCCATACCTAACACATACAAAACAAGATCTCTGGCAATTGTTGGTGTGTTTTCTCTCGAGCCAGGTCACGTGTCGCTGTCGCCATGATAAACTTTGTGGGGTGCGGGGCACAGCTTGCAGTGCTTGCAGTTCGCACTACCAGCATGATTGGACATAGTACGAGTCCATGTTTGTATTTGTGTATATATATATATATACACACACACACACTCTCAAGTATGCACACATGATTGTATGTGTCCGTAGTATCAGCAAGCACAGTCGGACTTTCTGCATGTGTATATACGCATATATGTACACTTGCATCTCTACACATATATACATATATATATACATATATCTGCATGTACACATTTATACTTATACATGTGTGTGTAAAGATGCTTTTTCACAACCATAGAGGTATATATGTATGCTTCCAGAGTACTCACTGTCTTTCGAACTAGATATGTATGTACCTATGTATGTAAGTAAGTAAATAAGTAAGCAAGTATGTATGTATGTATGTATGTATGTATGTATGTACACGTGTAGCACTGTCTCTGTCTCTGTGTGTGCATTACCGGCTATCCTCGCAATCGTCGCGGGTTTCGCTGCAATGATGGTAGTTATAGCATCGGCAGCAGGAGCAAGAACGCTCCAGTAGTTGTATTCAGACTCGTGACGAGAATACTCGTCGTTGTTGTCGTCATTCTATTCGTGTTCGTCGTCGTGGTCCCGAGATCCCCAGGATGGAAGCTTGCCATGGTACCAAGCCGGAAAATACATTTGGTACACTGACAGTAGTAGTACAGCTTTTCTTAATCTCAGCAAGTAGTGACAGTTACACGAACAACAGCTGTAGAAATGCAGGATCATGCAGGAAAGCAGAACGATGAGGAGAAACTCGCCATACTAGTTCGAACAGTGCGGAGGCAGCAACGTTACGAGTGGTCATGATAATGATAATCCCGATGTGGTCTTGCGTAAAGCACTAATAGGACTGCGAGAACCCGAAATTCAAAGTTGACAGCAACATCAACACTGTAAGAATACCTGGAACCATCTCGACAGTCCCTGCCGTGTCCCAGATCAGGGGTTCTGCCGCTGTCATCATAGGAGATGTGTGTACGCAGTCCAGGCCAGCCGTCGGCAGGCCCAACGCAGAAGAACCAGATCTCCAGGTTTTGCCGCTGTTGACCCTTGGCGGGAAGCGTTTGAAACCTTTTTCTGGTCGGGAACAGCCTTTTTCCTGAGATGATCTGCGCTTGATTGACCGAGGAAGCAGTCCCTGCTCCATGCTCGCATTCCGTCAGAGGCTTGTGCTCTGAAGCACAGGCACTGCGAAGTATTGCTGCCTGCTTGCTGCCCGGAGACGCAGAAGCTGCAAAGGCTTTCTGAGCATCCACCCCTGAAGCTCATTCCTGGGAGTTCCACGGAGTAAGGTCGCTTCTCGCCTCCGGAAATCACGGGCCATTCTGGGCGAGGCTGGTGATCTGCTACTGTCCGGGCAGCTCGGGATCAGTTCACTCGATTTTGAAGAGCGTGATTAGATAGTTTTCTCTTGTAAAGCTGCAGAAGGCCGCCCACAAGCAGTGTACCAGCTTTCTGTCACGGCACGTTGTGGTTGCAGCTTCTTGTAACATTGGTGTTGACAGGTCCGTGCTCGAAAAGCTTGCCGGATTCTCGGCACCTTCGCATCACCCTTGCCGGGCAACCTCTAAATGTCACTCCAAGGCTACTGAGCATTAAAGGATGCTAGGATTGCAGCGATTCGGCTTGTTTGGCTAGCTGGCTCCACAACCGGATTCCTGACAGGTACCATGCAATGTTGAATTTTGTTCCTTTCTGCGTGCCAGACTGAGCGTGTCAAGCAATGAGGTGTCTGTCCTGACGGGTCCCGTCACATCAGGGGCACCATTGACGGCGCGGCGCCTGTACTCTGACTTGCAGGCAGCATCTCAGAACGGAGTTCTAGGTACGTATGTATGTATGTATATATATACACACATATATATATACATATATATATATATTATATACATATTGTATTTTAATTTACTTAGCTATTTGTTTAACAATTCGTCTTTTGCATACATCGGTAAATGATGCTGCTTGCCAGAAGATTGACTTCGGTTTTGGCTCATCCCTGTCGGAGCCTGGCTTGAGGTTGTCCGAGAGGCGGTCTCGCTTGTGTCCAAGTTCTTCCTGCAGAATCTGCAGACGTTGCAGAGGCCGGATTCTGACCTAAACCTTAAACCCTAAAAGGTCCTAAACCGTGCGTTGCAGAGGCCGGATTCTGATGGTTCGAAGGCTCCCAAACCTGGAAGTGCTTGTAACATATCATCCTATTTCTGTGCAACTGGAGCATCCCCCAGGACCCTAGAGACCCTTCTGTCACGTCAGAACCAGCGGGCATTCTGCAGCAATCAGGCACGAAAGCTTCGGGCAACTCTGGTCACTACCTGAGCCTGCGCTTCCGCGCTTGACCGAATGACCAGGCGTCTGATGCCTCCTTGTGGGCTGTGAGAAATTCGAGGCTTATGGTGCTGAGACTGATGCTCCAGTTCATAAAGCGCGGTTCCGACGACCGCGATGCCGAGTTGGAGGCACCCCAGACTCTTCGCACATGTCCAAGAGCTGTCCTTGGTCAAGTGCCACAACAGATGCCGTAAGTGCTGCAAGAGAAGGGCTGCTGTGCTTTGGAATCTGGGGCTTGTTGCGCAGATCTTTGCTGCCCTGCGGCTTATTATACAAACACGGGGATGTCGCCAGGAAGTGTCCACCGAGAACCTCAAAAACCTGTTGGGCGTCCTTGCTGGTAGCTCAAAACGGTTTGGGCATAGCAGCAAGTCTATGCAAACACGAGTGCGGCTCGTTTTGTGCACTGCTCAGCCTCGGGACGCGACTTCAAGCACCCTTTGGCATGCATCCAGGTCAGCACTAGTGTCCTTGGCTTCGTTTCGCCGAAGGCTCGATTGTTCCAACACGAGTGTCATACCTCAGCTACAGTGTCTATGGGCAGTGCCGACAAAGAGCCAGTTCGGATTGTCGTAGAATGATGTAGGGCCGTAGGGTAGAGAACTGTGGTATAGGGTTGTCATTCAGCCTTGAATTTCGATCTCTGCATCCGTACTGTCACAGGCGGCGCAGCCGAGCGACGTGGCCGCTCGACCGGTGTGGTGGCTGCCCTCTTACTGGGTGCACAGTTTTGGAAAAGACAGAGTCGCAATGCATGCTGTGCGACCAGACAACCTTCCACAAGGCAGATGACCTGGGACTGCATCGAGGCCCTGCAGATGTCCTGGTTTCGGTGCATAGGACCGGTTACAATTGAAGCCCTCTTGCTCGGAACAACCGTCCGAATTGATCTGGGCCTAAATTGGAGCAGGGTTTTGGGCGAAGCTGGAGTTTTAAGCCGTAAGGGAGGACTGACGCATGGCGCGTGACTGCAGAGGTGTTCATCCCGGGCTTTGGCGAGGACTTCAGCAGGCAGGGCATGGACCGCCTCTTTCGAGGTGTCCTAGCCAAGGACTAGGGATCGGGCTAGGACGGGTTCATGGAGGTCGTAGCATCGGAAGGAGAGCTGCTGCCTGTCAGATCTCACGGGTTCAGCCTCGAAGGTCCGTGCTGGGCACTGGAGCTGCAGAGGCCACCATGGGACCTGTGGACATGTGAGATTTATGAAAGTTGTCCCATGGCTGGGTTGCAGCAGGTTCTGAGTCAGCGACATGCTCTCGTTGACCTGTGCCTGATGCGAGGAGTTAGGTTCACAGCGAGAGTGGGCGGATCTCGAAGCATCATACATGTCAAGGTCACTTGGGTCCGGGTGCTTTTTGACGTACATCTTCAGACTCTTGCATCTCGAAAAATGGCACTGTCCTGATTGGTGCACAGTGCAACTGTTCTCGGCGTGTCACAACTAGGCCTGCTCCATACCGTAGCCTCCAGCCATGTGCCGTTCAAAAGAGGCTTGGGAACATTTCATCTTCGTACCTTGCTTGCCGAAGTCAGTGACCAGGGCAGCCAAAAGAAGACTCTCGGCTGGGCCTGACTGTGTTTTCGTGTGACTGCGCGTCTGCGGTTGTTTCTCAGGGCTTCTGGGCTATGTGTCGGGGACACGGTTGGTGCACTAAGGCGGCTTTCTGCAGTGCAGCACCATCTCTTGCCGCTCCACGGAGAAGTCCTCGTACACTTTCGAGGATGCTGCACTCGCCCTGGGCCTGACGGCCGGCCTTGGCGCAGCCGCCGCGAGCACGGCCTTAGCGCCGGGGGCTGCGCTGCTGAAGATGGCCATGATGATCCCGACGCCGCCACCGCCATCGCTCGCACCGCCAGCACCTCCACTTGCGGCTGCAACGCAGGGCCGGACAAACGCCCTAATTCCAGCACAGACGCCGCCTGGGCCACCGCAGTTCAGCCTCCTTGACGCTTTGCTCCCGAACTTCAATACCGATACCTTCATCTGGCGAGTGTCAATGCTGCAGATCACGGAGTACATCGGCTCCCTCTTGCTCGGAAGCGCTTACGGGTCTCCGAAGCTTTGCTCCTTGTACCTGCTGGGCGCCTCCTGGGGCCCGGCCATTGCTCAGGGAGCCGTTTGGCGGCTGATGCTGCCGATGATGTTGCATGCAAATGCACTGCACATCTTCTTCAACCTCTTCTTCCAGATGCGCATCGGCTTTGGGATGGAGAAGCAATTCGGGCGGCGGAAGTTCTGCCTCCTCTACATGTTCTGTGGCTTCCTTGGGAACCTGATCTCCGTAGCGGTGGACCCCATGAAGCTGGCGGTGGGAGCCTCGACCAGTGGCTTCGGGCTCCTGGGAGTTTGGGCAGCAGAGGTTCTCTTGACATGGGACCTGCTGGGTGAGAGCCGCTCCAGGGTCTTCTTGTGGTTCGCCTTCATGGTTACAAGCTGCATCATGATGTCCACCATCTCTCCCAATGTGGATTTCGTTGGGCACTTCGCCGGGATGCTTGCTGGCTTCCTCCTCGCCATCATCCTTGCAGACATGCAGGAGGAGCATCAACCCGCATGGTACGACAAGGCCAAGATGACGGCCAAAAATATCACGGCGCTGATCGTCATCGCTTCGCTCGTTCGGGCCATCACCCTGGGCCCAGATGGGCCCATCCCCTACTGCGGGACCATCTTTCATCCGCGCCGCTTGCCCTTCTGAGCTGTGGCCAAAGCTAGGAGCATTGAGGAGGTCCACAGCAGTATCATGAATGTCAGACACCGATGCGCGAGAAGTTGTTTCGCCAGGCAAACCCGGTTATGCCAAAAAGTAGCAGTGGCAATCCTTCAAAAAGTGCAGCGGTGTCCAATGAGGACTTCTTGCAACGAAATGTGAAGCACTTGCCTTGCACATTCCGCTCGTAGAATAATGATATTCCATATGTTCGCAGAGAAGCTGTAGGAAGGACCGTGCCTACGAGCTCAAGGCGTGCTGGCATTGGGCAGTGAGTTTGCCGCTAGAAGTGCCCATGTCCCAGCATCAGGGCAGCCAGAAAGGAAGCGTGTGGCAGAGAGTGCACCTAGCCGGATCCCATTCCAGCGATGTCCATCCGCTTGCGCGCGCATCTTGCAGTGACTCCCATGCTCGCACGGCCCAAGAGACTCCCATGCAGTGTGGCAAGGAAGGAGCGATCCTGCAAAGGGCCCATGGACGAATCCCAGCGCGGGATCGAAGGTCGCGTGAGGGAGATCGGGGGTTGAAAGGTGTCGCTCAATGCTTTTGAGAGTCTTCGTCGGCAGGTCCCTTGCTCCAGGGCATTGTGCTGGTAAATGTTGCAGAAATGCTTTCTCCAAGATGCGCGATGCAGCTGTCGCACTGGAGCCGCTCTGCTCGTCTTGCAGAGCCTTGGCTGATGTCTCTTTCTGCGGTGTGTCCATGTTTTCTGGGAAATGAAGCTTCCTTCGCTTTAGGTCGCCTCAGCCGGGCAGCATCTGGATCTCGGCAACGGCTGTGTCAGCGGAAAGAAGACTTGCATCACCTGGCGCCAGCGACTCCTGGAGATGGAGGTGCAGAGCCAGCTATTGACGAAGCTTCTGTCGGGTGGGAGCTCAACGAAGGATGAGTGCAAGAGAGTCTGCACTGACGCTGCGAGGCGGGAGGGATGGGTGCAGCACGTGCAAGATCGTGAGTCATGCCAAGTGAGCTCATGCGTCCTAGAGGCATCTCCGGCGAGAGGAGAACATCGTGGCGCTTGCTGCTCCCGTGGTGGTGGTAGGCTCCCTCCGGGGTGAGCTGCAAGACCTCTTGACCATCTTCGAGATCTCTGGCCCTGTGCCCGAAACTAGCTATCTCTTCCTGGGCGACTACACAGTCTCAGGTGGGTGTGCCAAGAGGGGGCTTGATAAGAATGGCGGATCAATTTTTCAGTCTCTGGGCTTGCTTCCAGGCCCGGATCCCTGCGGCACACTGGTTCTGCTGCTGCTCCTGAAGGCACGCTTCCCTTCCCGGGTAACGCTGCTGCGTGGCCGGCACGAGCAGCGCCAGATGACACAGGAAGGGGCCTGAGACTTGCTTGTTTTTCTGAAGCTTTCCCTCGCGTATGGGCCCATTGACGTACAAGTTGTACATATCTTGTGCCACGCCAATGAAGCAGTTGTCTCTGGGAGCACAGTCGGAGCAGACTTCATCTTTAACAACTGGAACAACGTGGGCCCCTACGATGTTGCTTCTGACTTGCTTGATTCAACAACTCACAAACTGCGCTTAGGTGTACGGCCTTCACGACGCATGCATGCGTCAATTTCGCTCTGGTGGTGCCGAAGTTTGGGAAGCCTTCTGCCGCTCGTTTGTTGTTGTCATTATTAGTATTGTCGTCATCAGTGTCATCATCGTCTTCTTGCTACCCGGAGTATGCTTCTGACCTGTGGTTCTTTGCTTCCATCGTTTTTAGATTTTTAGGGTGTTGGAGGCCCAGCTCGGAAGGCTTTTCTTATATTATATTATATTATATTATATTATATTATATTATATTATATTATATTATATTATATTATATTATATTATATTATATGATATGATATTATATTATATTATATTATATTATATTAAATTATATTAAATTAAACTAAATTATATTATATTGTATTATATTGCATATGATATGCTATACATTATGTATGATGTATTTTATTATGTACTCCAGCCGAGGCCAATGCTTTGACCATATGCCGATCGCGGCTGTTGTGAACGAATCTGGGCTTGCAGCAGGTGGCATCGTCATTTCTGTGTCTGCGTAAGCCTTGCTGCTACAACAAAATGTATGCTGTGTTAAAGAGGCAGAACTCGGTTGGTCATGGTCCGACAGCGATGTTCTTCATGATCCACAGTCACTGATGGCCATTGCTCTTTCAGGAAGTGCTTGTCCCACAGAGTGCCATCAAATCCAGCAGGGCTGGAATTGAACAAATCTTCACCCATGTCCTGGTTTCAGTTGTCGGAGGTGTGGTTGGTTTGGACCAGAGGTAATTTCGAGCATTACATTGCGGCAGTCCACCAGTCTGGGTCGTCAACTGGATCGGCACTTCTTGGGGCCTTGGTCGTAGCCTCCATGCTGCACACCAGAATGTTGAACCTGCATCAAAACGCAACAAGCAGCCGACATAATTAGCACTGAGCCGACGTGTCATTTCGCTTATACCTGCTTTTGCTATGCCTCTGCAGGCTTGCTGTGCTAGGCAGCAAGAGCAGAAACGGAAGTGCAAAATCGCCTGCCGAAATGGCGAAGGCGTGCATTGCGGATGTGTGCCATTGCATTCGGTGATGGGTATGACGAAGCAGCTCGATGAAAGATGTAGTGACAAAATTGCCTATGTAGATACCGGTCACGAACACGTCGTCTTTTGCCGGTCAATCGCAGAAACCGACCCGCGACCGCGGGTGAGTTTGGACACCATCTTCTTGCAGGCACGAGGCCATACAAAGACGCGGAGTGCACACGCCATGTTGTTGCGGGCTTTATTCCATGCATCTCCTTGCTTGTGGAGGGATCCGCATCTCAACTGCTCCTGCAACGAATATTTGTCCACCTGATTGAGGAGAAAATCTTCTGCGTCCACTCCGGCCTGGCTCCTGAAGTGGAAACGCTGGAGGGGCTGCGTCATCTCGATCGCCACGGGGACTACGGACACGAAGGCCTGTGCCCTAAAGCCTCCGGAAGACTCTTGGGCCAAGCTGTGCATGAGACAGCTTCACATCCCCTAAGACTCTAAGTAGACAAATAGGACCTACTTTGGGGTCTAAAGACTATAAATGGTACCTACTTTGGGCCATTTGGAGCCTTAGGGATCGAGGCCGCTTTAGAGCAATGCAAACGGTTGGACCTACAGCCCTTCTCGCTAGCCCTGCATGGAACCATTGTCCCATGAGCCGTCAGAACCTTGCTCGGGATATGTTCCACTACCTTGCGGTTGTCGGGGGCACTCGCGACTTCACGGCTGGTGATGACTTTGTGGCACGTGTGTGCGACGCAACTAATATACGTCTGCTCAGAAGCAGGTCCCATTGCAGACATGCTTTGGTCTGACCCAGCGGAGGATGTTGAAGGCCTGGGGGGAGGTTTGGACTTACCAGCAGTTGTCGCACATTGAAGAGAAACAGCTATCCACACGCCGCCTGTTCATAGGTTCTACATGGCTCGTTGCAGGAAGATTTGATTGCAGAGACCCAGGTCAGTGGTAAGGTGTCGTAAACTACAAGTACATGATGCAAAGTTGCCTCAGCTTGAGATAGCACGTTGTCAAACGTCCCCTCATGCTTTAAGTAGGGTCCGGCATCTCTTGAGGACGTAGAGTTTCCAGTGCTTGGCAACTTGGTTCCCGAGTTCCCGAGAAGCAAACGACACGTCGCGCATCAGGCTGGGGCGCGGCGCCGAAGAGTTGTGGCTATTGGTTTGGCGAAGCCTGCGCCCTAGTGCCAGCTTTGCCTTCCGTTTCAGCTTCCTTTAGCACGAGCTTCAGTAGTCGGCCAGTGATCTCTTCAAATGCCTTTGCAGACGCATTTGTGTCAGCCTAGGACATCACGACCGCGTTTCTCAAGGCTAACAACCTAGAGCTGATGGTCAGATCGAAGCAGCTGGTCGTGGACGGCTTCGCAGAGCCTTGTTGACAGGGATGGGCAGCTTGAACCTGTGTTTGTTTTTCACAGGCCGTCCGTTCGTGCAAGCTTAAGACAGAGTGGCCAGGTTTCCGTGCTTCAGGTTGCTTCCCTCTGACGCTGTGAAGCTGAGCCGCCCATATAGAACCCTGGTGCATGTCGATCATCGAGTGGTCCCCAACTTGGGATCATTTGGAATCGGTTGGGGCTTACGAACATTCCAAATCGGCCAGAGCCCCTTGTGTAGAGAGCTTCAAAGAAAGGCTCCTAAGGGCCAACCCCCGCTCAGGAGCCTGTGGTTGGTTTGCTAAGGAAGGTCCGCCATCTGTTGCCCCAAATTGAACATCTAGCCTCTAGCCTCTTGCCGCAAGAGCTGCAAGAGACTGTGGTCTCCTTCATTTTTCCTGAACTGAACTTAAGGCCCCAGGCCTCCCGTAGAGACTTCAGAGTGTGGCCCTGAATTCTTGTTGCCCTTGGATTTGAGGAGCTGCATGGGGGGAAATGCATCACAGTCCCGTGGCAGCATCCCAGGCAGACACTGTGTTTGCAACGGCAAATCTGCCAAAAGCCTGTTCCAAACAAAGATCGCTGTCACGTAGCGAGACGAGACTGCAACGTTCACGGCACCCGCTGCTTAAGGTGTTCTCGAGCTCGAATGTCTCTTTTGGCAACCAGGCTGCTGTTCTTCACCTGGACGACGCTGGGCTGCACTTCTGCACGAAAGACACTTTTCATGAGCTGCCCAGTTCGGTTCTAAGGAGGATTGCAATCGCACTGTCCAGACTTTCCGAGAAGCAAAGCAACCAGAGAGTGAGCCCCGAAGCGCCGATGTCCCAGATCATTTTGCTCTTGTATAGGCTTCCTTGACGTCGGGATCTCAAGCGGAAGAATTAATTTCTTGGCCTGTTAGCGTTGTACAGTATGCGCCTCGCTCGCCACATGGAAAAGGCTTCGTTTTGCCAGATGAGTATGCATGGCATCCTTTGAGGCGTCAGCATGTGCGAGACAGAGAGTTACTGAGATGAGTAATTTGCGGAATGCCTAAACCCTAAACTCCTAATGCCTGTCAG